AGGCCCTTTAATAAGATTTATCTACATTTTTTCCTCTTCTGGATGTCCTGCATATTTGTGACTCAGCAGCTGTCCTTTCCTCCAACACATGCTTTCTTTTTCTTGTTTGTTTAGGGAACGTACTTTCTGTGTGCCTCCCCTTTATCCCAGAAACAGCACACATCTTAATGTTAAATCTGTATCTCCTAAAAGCTTGTATTCCAAGATCTGTATGTGTTTGTGGAAAGATCAGTATGTTATTAGCCAAAGGTCAGCCCATTTATCATCTTAATACCGTTCATTACTACAGTTCCATATGGCATGGGATTCTGGGAGGCCATTGCCCTTCTGATTCTTGCATAAGAGAGAGAATTCCTCATGTTATTAAATCTTATTTTTATACTGATGTGTATAGCTGGCTTTCTCTGTTATAAATAACTTCAGTCCTCTCTTGCTCCACGTAGTTTTCTCAGTGTTTGTGACCTTCCTCCAAAGACAGGGAGCTTGAAAGATACTCATTTGGATCCAGGGATTGCCTTGTGGGGGTGAGAGTTACTTCCAGCTGCTATGTCATCATTATAAGCTAATAACAGTAACATTTTGTTACCAGCTCTTGCTTCAGACCCCTGCATGGACCGGGGCTCTCCTTGGATGTAGCTCTCAGGCAGCACCATTGAGAACAGACACCATCACTGAGCATGTTTGTAGTTCTTGAGGTGCAAAAGTCGCGTCCCTTAAACTGTTAGCGATGCCTAGCAGTTGCCAGCAGGCTCAGCAGATGGTGAAGGATTGATTGAGTGGGTGAAAACAAACTAACCCTTCATCTCTGGACACTGAAGAACAGGATGGCTGATTGTTTCTTGTTTCGTTTGCAGATGCCTTGGCCATCTGGATAGACAGACACGTATGCTTTAATTTCAGAAGTAGATGACACTGCTGAGCCCTTGGGAGATGCATAGTTTCCTAAAAGCAGAAACCTGGTTTGAGGCTTGTCTCCCAGTGTCCATGCTGCAGCGTTCAAAACCTGTGACTCCCAGGTTCTTTGCTCTTCCTCTGGTTTTCATAAGCTTTTCTTTGTGATCACCAGGGCTTTCATCCCTGTGAAAGAGGAGGCTGAGATGCTCACAGTTGCACAGCTTCAGGAACAAGAGAGGGGTCTGTCCAGTGATACCATGCTTGGTCTAATTTGCAGAAGTCAACAGTACCACCCATATGGGTGAGCATTTTGGAAAAACCTACTGTAATAGCAAACATCTATTTTGCCTTTTTTTTTCTTCTTCTTCTTTTGTAGCCACTATCTTGAAAGAGTCCTTAAATTGGCTGTTAATCCACACCTGGCGGAGAAAGGATTGAATGTAGAGAAATGAGTTGTGTTGCCTTGATAGTTTGCCTGTTCATGCTCTCTAACAAAACTCAGCGATGCTGAGATAAGGATATAAGATAAATAGGATTTTAAACTTCAGAGTTGTATTCCAGTATTTTAGCATATAGACTATTAGCAAATTAGTTTCATTAGGTCCCTAAAATCTCAGGGATACATTCAGAGGATCAGAATTGATCCAGAATACTGAATTGAAATTTCATCTTGCAGCATGATAATGGGCAGCTTCCTTTTCCCCCCTTTAGAACTAGGGACAGTAATCCTCATGGACAGTGTCTGTGGGATGGTTCATACGGTGAGAAATCCATTTAAAGACAGGGGAGTAAATACTCAAGGTAAGATGAAGTATTGTGCTGAAAGTGTAGCAGACATTTTGAAAGATGAAGCTTCTGGGGTAAACAAGTTTGAGGTATCTCCATAATAAAGTGATTCCTAATTCATGTGCCTCTGGCACATACAGCCTTGATTCTGTAGGAGTGTGGCGGGTATCTTTGTAAGGCGGAGTGATTAATGAGTAGCCATGAGAACGATTCTCCTAATGCTTGAATTATTTATAGTCCTGCACAATTGATTATCCCCAAAATATCCTGGTGTTGTGCAAACAGCTTCATTAATTTCTAGACCTGATTCTAAATAACGCAGTGCGTACAGTGTTGTACAAAATGATGCTGTGTATATATCTGTCTTGTAGGAGTCTGCTGATGACGACCTGTCCTGACTTTAATTTTAGGGTTTTGGTGGTGGTGGTTTTTTTGGTTTTGTTGGTTTTGTTTTTTTTTTGTTTTTTAGGAATATATTTTGCACTGCAGGAAAAGGAGCCCAGTGATGGTATTGCTGAGAAGGTACAGATAACTTGTGCTGGCTTGGGTGAGAATGGTCATGTCTTCAGGATGAGGCCTTCTGCATATCCACCTTCATTCTGCTGAGACAGAGACAGTGCTGTTGATTTCTGATCTGTCAGGAAGTAGCATTGCTTCCTGACAGTGTTAGACAGTGTTCCTGACAGTGATGCAGTGTTAGATGGGTCTGCAGAGGTGCTCTGTCGATCTGTAAAGCAAGTGAATCTGGAGGAGTCTGGGCTGATGGTGAGACTGAGCTTTTTTGTGAAGTCTCCATATTGACAGAGCTGTCCTATGTGGTGACCTCCTGCAGCAGCCTGAGAGATGATAGTGCTGTTTTGTGGTATTATAGCCTGGTTTCTGCCTGTCTGGGCAGGCTCCAGATTTCTGCATGCACGCTCTCTACAGCTCTCTCTCCTTTTAGCACTGCCTTTGTTTTTGAATAAGTGATATGACCAAGTTTCATACTGGGGTAAGGGGCTGTCCAGGTGAAACAAAGCACTGTGTGTTTCCCAGCTATTGATCAGGCTTAGAAGGAAGATGGGTAAAAACAGTTGCTCTTTTGCCTTTATTAATAGAACTATTGATGAGGTTCAGACTTCCTTCCTCTCCCTCAAGAGTTTCGGGTCATTCCTATGTGTGCTGTGCAATAAGAAGTCAGAGTGCTATGTGAAGCTTCACGTTCTGATCACTGTCTTGTTGACTCAAACTAACCTTCCTCTGCTAAATAAGTATTGACACTGGCCCTTTGTGTACTTTTTTACAAGCCCTAATTGGATTAAAATAATTGTCATGCGTGAAGGATGCATGTTGGAGCGCAAAGGGCACATGGAAACCTCAGCTATGGGCGCCATGGTTACTAGTGACATCACTTGGTTTGCTATTAACAGTAATGATTTGTGCACAGCGCTGAAGCCAAAGTGAAGATGGCCTAAACTAAACCGAGTGGATTGCTGATGCAGTCCCATTGCCATGGAAACAGATGTTGCAGCTTAAAGTTGCCTGCATTCGTAATGCAATGCCCATGATATAAACAAAAACACAGTCCTGCAGTGTCCATGTCTTCTGAAAGGATGTGAAGAGTGTACCTGGAGAGAATGGGAAGTTCCATTGCGGTTCAGCTCATGCCAAATGATGTGTGTGAGGAGATGCAGTAAGCCTTGATGTGAGTAACAACAGCACAACTTTCGGGTTCCGTGCTGTCCTCCAGCAACGTTCTTGGAGGACTGTCAGTCCCGCTCCATGTGGGTTGTTTCTGATTTGTATTTCACAAAGCACAGGTTCAAAAGCACTGTTAAAACCCACCCCTGGGGGAACAAGGTTCCTCTCTCCTGCCTCCTTTAATACTGTCTTTCCAGTATAGCCATTAAGCCTACGCTCAGCTCCTGCAAAACAGCAGTAGAGGAGCTCACCTGCCTTCCTTGCTTCGGGGCTGCAGAGTGCTGTATCTGGTTCAAGGTTTCTGCTCCAGCCCGCTGAACGTTGCCGTATCACAGTTAATTTGCTCGAGTGAGGCTCGGGAGATGTGCGTTCTGCACGTAGCCCTGCCAGCAGCTCTCTCTTCAGGTTACTTGCTCCCTCTTTAAAAGAGAGCTCCTTGCTGAGTCCCTGCTCTCTGATGCACAGCACTTGGCTATCAGGAGTGCAGCCCTTTGTCTGACTGCAAAAGTTGTGCGTACTGTTCTACTTTGGCAAACTAATGCATTAATAACAGTTCAGGTGATTTTTATTTTTAATTTAATTCGTGTCACTTCCCATTTGCTCTTAGATTGCACTGTGCACTGATGACAATTATGTCAGTTTTGATCAGATGAGAAGCTCTCTGGCTTCTGTAAGAGCAGAATAGGTACTGTTTCCCCTTTTCCCTTCTTTTCTTTTCCTTGGGTATCAGGTGATAGCATCCAAATTGAGTGTTTCAACACTTTGATGATATACATTTTGGGAGAAGATAATTTGAGAAGTGTATATTTTCAGGATAAATCAACATTTTGTTTTCATAGTCCAAATTTTGATTACCTACAGTAATGTTGACCCCAGACGGTGCCTGGTGTGTCAGATGTCTATCAGCAGGCAGCAGGTTGGTGGTGGTGAAAGCTGATTACTCGTAATGAATTAGATGTCAGTTCAGATGATCGAAAAGGAGTGGTTAACAGAACACAGAGCTAAGTCATACCACAGCAAGAGACAGCTGAGGGTAGAGAGGATACACCCATGTGCATGTTACCCGTGTAGAGAAATCCTGTTCTGGAAAAATGTGTTAAGAATAAACCATGCATTAGTTTTAAGACCTTTAGGTATTTTCCAGCATCTCTATTGTTGGCCTGCTAGTTTTAGGTGCAGTTTAATTCTGGCTTGCAGCAGCTAGGACGGAAACTGTGCATCTGTTGTTGTGCTGTTTTTCATTTCTGGCGGCTGATTGCTGGGATAGCCACACTGAGCCCAGATATGTGGCTGAGACTGATGAGCATTCTGAAAAGGGTTGTTCACCTCAAGGATGAGGAGGGAAAAAAGGCAATTTTTAAGCACAGAAGTGAAGGGGAGAGAATTTCACTTCCTGCCAAAGTGTAATACTTGAATGTTGTGTCCTAACAACAAGATAATGGAAAGAAAGAAACAACCCACGAGAGATGGGATCTTCTTGTGGGTTCTCTTGAGGGCTTTTGTTTGTTTTGGTCTCTTGTTTGTTTTTCTCGACCTTTTACATCTTACTAGTATTTGTATTTCCTTTCTAAAGCTGAGCAGAAATACTCACCAAAACAGTCACGATTAGAAAAACCAGTCTTAGAGGCTGGCAAAGACAGATCGGATTCATCCACCCTCAGCAGCTTCAGGCGTTTTGTTTTCTGGTGAGTTGTGTGAGGCAGTTGAGGCTTTCTGTTTCCCAAAGGACCAGACTGTTTTTAGGATTTTCGTTGGCACTTCTGGTAGCCTTGAGATCTGAAACAAGGAAACCCAGTAATTGGTCATTGTTAATCTCAGCCTCCTTTGCCTCAAGAGCACATACAGGTCTGTTAGAAGGATCCTCTGGGGAAATCTGCTGTCATGTTCTTGTTCCATGGATGCATAGCTGCCTTTGTTTGCTATCCTTGTCAGCTGAAACCATCTACCAGCAGTAAGCTTCTTGCATCCGTGTCTAAATGGGATGAGAAATGCTGAAACTTCAGTGTTATTTTAATGGATTCTCCCAGGAGAATTTGTCTGGTTAATAAAAGTGTCCTGTTGCCTAATGGGAGCCGGGAGGGAGAAAAGATCTTCTGATTATTGTTTCCAAACAATGGCCTATGTCTTCATTATTCATGGACAGAAGGTCTACTGGTGTAGCAGTGTCAGTCTTTACAATCTGAATAATCTCAAATCAAAACTGTCACGGGTCGTCAAAGTCAGCCACTGGCACAGGGTAAATATATTGCTGTAAAGCACCAAGAGACTTTGCCATGATGCTGAAGCATGTCAGCTCTTTGTAATCACTGTCTGACTTATTTGGATTGAGGAGATGAACTGTAAGCAATAATTGGTGGTAAACGAGGTAAGATTATAGCTGCAGTTTATTTTTTTGGAAGCTAGAACAATGCTTGGGCTGCCCATCAGCACCATGCAATGCACCTATCTTTACTCTTCTCTGCAGTTGCTCAAAGTAGTAAGTTACAACTGAAAAAAACCAAAACTTTAGAAGAAATGAAACCACTTAACTGCTTTCAACACTACTGAAGACTTTGCAGAGATTCTGTGTATGGAGTAGAGCTTGTTTGCATCTATGCTGTACTCTGGAGGTGAAGTGCGATGAACAGGAACCTGGTGGTTTAGGATAATACCCTTCTTACTGTGTTAGCACATGAGTTACTGTGCTGTTATCATCCTGGTGAGAAAGACGTTCAAAGTCTGTGAAGTATCAAAGTAGTATCTGAGATGCTACTTATCAGAGCTAACACTACAAAAAAAAAGAGAGAGGATGGTACAGATAATCCTATGTCCCTTCCAGGTGCTGGGACCCCCAGGCTGTACAGCATTGAGTGCTCTGATCATCACACCATGCTGCTGCAGTCTGCGGAAGGGATCTGTGATGTTCCAGTGGTGCAATTAGCACTCAGAGCATGCTGAGTGCATTAATATCGAAGTAAATGCAATATAGAGTTAATGAGGCAGATTTTCTCTCCGTGAAATAATGCTGTGCAGGGGATGGCAGAGATTTGAGACTGCTTCCAGGCTGTATGGCAGAGTTCACAAAAGCCTGGATTCAAAATCTTTTGTAAATGTTTGTCAAGCTTTTTTCAGCGTGTGTGATTCCCCTCAGGCCTCTTGAAGTGGATGCTATGAATGGATACAGCCTTCTTCAACTTTAAGCCTCCTCGGCAATAAACTTTCACCTTATTCAGCTTTCACACACCTCCTAAAAGCTGACCTTTTTGGTGGATCTACAGGCACGTGTGGAACACGCAGTAGAAACCAGGTTCTTCTGTAGTTGCAGAATGCAGCACAGCACCCGTAGCACCTCCTGATGGTGTTTCTATTGCACGTGGAGCCTGTGTGCACCGCCGCCGCCTGGATGTGCTCAGCATGGCCTGCAGGGACAGGTTGGATCTGAGTCACTCCTGAATAGCTGAGACATTCAGAGTGTCTAAGAGGAGTGGAATTAAACTAATTCTACTAAAAAGCCTAGAAAGCAAGTTTTGTTTCCACAGCTTGACTTACGCGTTTCTCAAGATGAATCGTCAACCTGGGGAGTTCTGTTGCCAGCAGCTGTCGTTCCTTCACTGAACTGACCCTGCTAAAATCCACACAAACTGCATTCATCTTCTCATATCACTCTGCTGGGCCAGGATGGCTGCAGCACAGCGTTGCAGGATGCACTCCATGGCATTTGCTGGGATCAGGGAGCTGGTCAGCCTGTCTTTGTTCGCAGCCTCATGTCTCCCATCGTGAAGGACAGATGATAGTGGGGTTAGGCTCACCTGATGTGTAACCGACGTTCACTGGAGTTATTCATGCTATGATTATTACGGTGAGGTCATGTGCTTTGTCCCATGCTATGCTGCTGTGCCAAGAGATTTATTTTAATAGAACCCTTTAAGTAACTGACATTCTTGCTAATCATGGTGCATCTGCTTCTCTGGGTTCCCTGTTATGAGTAATTTAATGCTATTACTTTAGCTAGAAGGGATCTGTGTCACCATCTGTCCTGGAGAGCTATTGATGGGGCTGTGCAGAACATCGAGTGTCATCAGCAGAAGAGAGGGACTTCTAAAAGGGATGACTAGATTTCCTGTTGTAATACAATATAAGGCGGTTTACTGTGATTACAGCTTAGATATCTTGCATGGGGGCCGTTAGGTACTCTTTGATGTTGGAAACTGTTCCTCAGATATTCATGTAGAGGGAAAATAGTGTTGCCAGTTGGTAGCAAATAGCAATAACACAGGCAGTCTACTAAGTAAAATCTCTACTTTTTGTAGGATCGTGGTCTGTGAAGCCAACACTGACCCCAAATGCCTGCACAGCTGCCTATCCCAGCAGATGAGTATTCTTTGGAGAGTGTATGCCCAGTGCTTCTCAAGCCAAATGTTTTCCTCATCAGTGGTTATTTTTTAAATGGTTGTTTACAGACCACTTCCTTGTGATAAGCTCTCTCCATGCTGTAGCTGAGTCACAATAGCCATGAAGAGGCTGTGGTTGAAAAGCAAATTGCTCTTCGCTCCCAGAAGTGGTGTACTTTCACAGAGCCACTTGGGCACAGAGCATCAGACTGGTCTGTTGAGTGCATGTTGCTGATGTCTTTATTTTATTCTCTCAGATATGTATCTTCCTTTTGTCTCTGTGACTGGTTGGTGATTGTTCTGTTTGCCATCTAACCTGGCCACGTTGGTCCTTCCCAACCTCCCTGTGGCATGCAGCCTTCTCTACACACAAATTGGGAAGGAGGAGAGCATATGATGCTGGGAAGCAGCCTTGTGAGGCTCACAGGAAGTTTCCCTTTGGTTGTACCACTGTTCCAGTGATAAGCTGTGTTGTGCTTTGAGTAGAAATTGGACTGGCTCAAAAGATAGATCAAGATGCGAACTTTGCAGCTCTGATTTTTGTCGTGCAGAGGTGCAGCTCTTTCTTCACATTCATCTAGGAAAATATTCTTGCTGTCTCATCATAGAAAATTGACAAGCAGGATGTACATGTTGGGCTTGGACTCACCGAACATTTTCAGTTGACAGAAAGGTCTGTGGACTGGAGTTGGTTATCTAGAAAGACCAGAGGAAGACACCAGCACTGTGTCAGAATAGGGTTTGGGGTTTCTTGCAGGAGTGGAGAAATGAATAAAGCAAGAAAAAATCAGAAGTGGGATGCAAACTGACTTCCCCAAAGAGTGTCAGTTATTTTTTTTCCATCAGCAATACGGGTGGATTCAAAAATGGAGTTGTGTTAATCAAGAGTTGGGTTGATCCCTTCTTGGAGAGGTGACCAAGCGAGTGCCTGGTGCTTTGATAAAGGAAACAGCGCAGAAGACATCCCTGCCTGCTGCTGTTTGGTGGGAGCTGGAGTTGGAATCAGCAGCACCAGGTGCTGAGTGTTCAGGCTCAGAGCTGAAGAGCTGTCAGAGAAGGCAAGGCACAGTGCATCTCTGTGAGGGAGCTCTGAAAGGAAGAGCATCAAACAGTATTCTGAGAAAGAAAGCCTGTTTTAATGTCAACCATGGCTATTAAAATTCATCTTCAGTGTTTTGGTTTTCCATTTCAATACAAGCAGTTGTAAGTCTGGGGACACCACTCTTGTGCACTCTTGGCTTTGCATGCGCGCAGCAGTACTGAGGCTGCTCGGTGCTGTGGATTTCTTTTGAAGTTGAAGAACTCCTGCATGTGTTTTGGTCCAAACCAAGGACCTGCAGATTTGACTTGGCACTGTTGATACCCACGCAATCTAGAACAGTAGCTTTAAACCCAGCAGATCTGTGATTCCACGTGCGATAACTTGGCACTAAGAGAATCTGCATTTCCTCTGCTTGTGATTTCCTCGTGCTTCTGCCATATAAAAGAGCTCTAGATCTCCATAATTTGTATCAACTGCTCGGAGCAGATGCCATGTTACAGTTCTGTCTGACACATTCGCTATGCCTGCTGGGTTGCTGCCTTTCGCGAGACCTCTGAATTAATCAGATTTTTGGGTTATCAAGATTATTTAATGTTATTGTCATAAATATTTGTACAGGACTTGGTCAGTGCTTACATAAGAACTGAAATGCAGTAATTTGTTTTAAGAGGATGTGTGTTTTTATGAACTGCCAGCTGAATTTTAGATATAAACTTTACAAAAGCCCTTCTCTTTCACAGTACTTTGCAGTTTGTGGGGCAGGAAAAAATGACTGTTTAGATTGTCAGTTATTTGGATTTGTTGGTTGCAGCTGTTTAACTTTTAAATCACTTGAGAGTTATTTAGGAAGAAAAAGTTCTCTTTTTAAATAGCTATGTTGGCTTATCATCCTGTCCTGAACAGACGAGAAGCTGATCTCTTGCATCTCATTCATCATTTTTTGTTAAATCTCATTTTCCTTTGAATTGTTTGTATGCCAGAAGTGAGAGTTTGTTATTGCGTTATATTTCACAGTTGATTCTTGTATACAATTCCAGTTTTTTTCTTAATTTCCAAAGCCTCTCAAATACAAACAAGAAACTCAACAACTTGAAACACCATGAATCTGTTGTTTGGAAATGATGAAGGTTATGCATAATCTGATCTGAAGTGTGTTATAGATGGACAACTACTTGCTTTCCCTCTAGCTCTTCTTAGAAACAGTGAAATCAGTGGTTTTCTGACTGAAGGAAACTCTGCCAGGTCCCTCAATGAGGGGCTCTGCTACAAATAAGCCAAAATGTGGAGGCTGCCAGGGGGTGCTGTGTGCATTCTGGCAAATTTGAGTTATTTCTTCTAAATATCTTAATTAGCAGAGCACAGTCTCCAAGCTATTCTTGGAGAGCTCCTGCTCTGCCAGACCACAGGCAACAAAGCCCCAGATCCTATGGGTTTGGGTCATAAAACAGTTTTTAGTACTGCGGTGCTGTGCTGAGCATGTGCATGATTCTTCGTGCTGATACAACACTGCAAGGATTTGGCAAGTTAGACCAACCCCCCTTTGCCTTGTTACCCACAGATGTGACAGTTTTCTGTGCTGTTGGGTGATTCAGAGCTGGAGCCAAGGGACAGTGCACTCTCAGAAAGACTTATGTGTACCTTCTTGTAAGTGTAGGAATTTGTGTCGTTACGTCTTCATTCGAATTCTCTCTTAGCTTTAGAGATGTCATCCAGGTTTGTATTGGATCTTTAATAAATGATGTCTTGCCTCCTGTGTTGTCCAGAATATCTAAATCTTTCATTTATAATCTCTAGTTTTAGTACTCCTACTGCCAGGGTGCTGCTGCAGTTCTGGTGGCTGTATGAAACTGTGGTCAGCAAGAGTCCTACAAACCATGCCCAGTCTCTGTGTGCTTTGAGACCTCGCTGTGTGCACTATGTTGTATTGATTAACTCTGTGGTATATTTTCCCTTTCAGAAAAAGAGCAGAGAGGAGACATGTGGGGAAGGCAGTGGAGTAGAGATCCTGGAGAACAGGCCATACATGGATGGGCCAGGAGGGAACGGGCAGTATACTCACAAAGTTTACCACATTGGTATGCACATACCCAGCTGGTTTCGGTCAATATTGCCCAAGGCAGCTCTGCGAGTCGAAGAGGAATCGTGGAATGCCTACCCTTATACCAGGACAAGGTAAAATTGACCACAATGTTCAGAGTTCTATCCCTACTTTATGGAGAGGGTTCATTGCTTTCTGTGACAGCGGCATGTCTTACATCTCCAGTAATGTCCTTCAGAGAAAATGAGGTGCCAAGTCCTGAAATTCTTATACTGTGCTTAATCTCAGAAGCTTAAGTGTTGCCAGGGCTGACTGCATAAGTACTTGACAGTTTGTGGCTGCTTGCTCTAAAATGTGAGCTGTTTGTCCATCAAAGCGTGGGAAATCTTGAATAGTTTTTATTTAGTCTCATATCCTGCACTGTGCGTTCTACTTACTGTTGCAGTTATCTGCTAGCTCAGTAAGGATATAAATGTGCATAGCAATGGGAAAGTTGTCTTGCTGAACACAATCAAATACAGCAGGATTTAGCATTCCTTTTCTGGGAGCTATTTTACTGTTATCAAGACAGAAAATAACAAACTTACACCCTATGGTTTTCTCTCTGAGAAGAAAAGAGAGTTGGAGGCTCTGTGGAGCCATCTGGGTCCTCCGTTTTTGTCTGGGAAGACTTCAGATACCCTGGAATAAATAACTGTCTTACCAGTTACTCTGGTTTAGATCATTCCTTCTATTCAGTCTGATGTTCCAGTTATCTTCCATAATAAAAAGGCTTCAGAATCTTTTGATATTTATCAGAAATCTTAAGTTTTATAGATTTGTTTTAGCTGGTCTTGACACAAGTAACACGAATTTGGGGAAAGAGAAAGTGTCAGCATCTGTGTATGGGCAGTCATTCATGACTAAATGTAATGGAGCTGTATGACTTTGAAGTGATTGACGTCCACTTTCAGTCTGTTTTTATCCATCCTCTTGAAATGCCTGTGAGTGAATCTCCTGGCCAGGAAACATGGCCTTGTGCCAAACCAATCCATATTTTATTCTGCTGCAGATTCCAGGCAGGAACTCTGCTTTTTTTCTTTCATTTCCAGGGTATCGTATCAGTAAAGATAATAAAACCTGTTGATACATCGGACTCTGTAGTTA